ACAAGAGTACACAACCAATACAACATAATTGAGGTTAATCATACGAGGGAGCATGATCGCTATGACCCTTTCATAATTGCATATAACGTTAGGCAAGTGTATTATGCTCATTATCCATTGCAGCGGAATAAGTCCGATTGGTGGGTTGTAATAAAAACTAAGCCTATAGGTAGGGTGGAAGTCGAGAATGTGTTAAATGTTGTATATCAAAATGATATCTCCAGTGTTTACCAAATAGTGGACGATCAATTAGAAAATGATTTGGAACATCCTGAACGCATATTGGAAGAAGTTGATATAAATGAAGAAACAAATATAGAAAAAGAGGACGAAGAATCAACTGATGAAGCTCAAACAAGTGAGGACGAAGAATTCTCGGACGATGAACAATATGTCGATAAGGATTAAAAAGTTGGTTTTTTAAAGCACTCTCGTTTTATAGCTAGTTTCTTATATGTTTCAATCTAAATATGTATTATATTATGCAGATGACAGGCAAGGGTCAAGGTAACAATGACCCTACTGGTTCTTGGGGTCGAGAAAAGGCTAGGAAGGGAAAGAGGAGGGTAGATAATAATACTCCTCTTTTCCACCCTCTTCAAAGATGCCTATGTCTTATCCTCCACCACACGGCTATACTGAGCTGCCACAGCATCACGAGCCCTACACCTTCATCCAGACACTAGGTCTTTCATCACAGGGCCATAGGACTATACGTCCGACATACAGTCCAGCTGCCTCACGGCCACGTGGATCACAGCCATCTGCATCGCAGCCATCTGTATCACATCCCTACATATCACAGCCACATGGATTGCATCCATCCATTTCACAGCCACTCGGGTCATAGCCACCCGGGTCACAACTATCAGTATCACAGCCACTTGGGTCGCATCCAGCTATGCTGCAGTCACAGGGATTGCAACCATCTTCATCAGCGACTCCATCTATTTCAGGCCTTCGCCTGCGAGGCAGTATCTCTGACCCCCCTACACAGTCCACAAATGCCTCTGATACACATGCTTCAAACGATGATGACGAGGAAGTGCATTATGATCAATATGGCAGGATCATCATAGTCCCTAAGGGTGATGGGTAAGAGTTATTTGCTATTTTTGCGTCTAGTGTTTTTTGTAACGTTTTTACTAAGATATTAATGTGTTTCTATCGTTAAATTGCATGTTCAAGCAGAGTAATAAGACTACGAGATAATCACCAATGCCATCAGAAAGCTTTATGATGGCCCTTATGCGACTTGGATTGGTTTTCCATTCTCGCCGAAGGAGCAAATTTTCAATCAATTTAAGGTATAAATGTTCTTTTAAGCAGTTTAATAATTTATATTTATGATGTTTCCGTATAATATTTAACTTTTGAAATAAGAGCAAGTGTGTATTAGAAGACCGCTATAGCGCGAAAGTGGTTGCAAATTTTCATCATAAAGCTCGCAAGAGATTGGCGGATGCTTTCTCCGATGCTAGAAAGAAGAACAAGAGTCCTGGCTGGTTACTTCAGAATTTATGGGATGATTTGCAAAGGCAATGGCTTACCGCAGAGTTCTTAGAGAGGAGCGAAAAAGGAAAGAAAGCTCGCGCATCCGAGAAGGGAGGCTCCTTGAACACTGGAGGTGCGATTAGCCTAGGGACAATAAAAAGAAGATTGGTACGTAATTGCTTAAATTATTTTACTTTTCTAAGTATATCTATTCTATTTATTAACTAAATTAATTTGTTTTCAGGAAAAGAAGTTGAGGCATCAAATGAGCCACGATGAGCTATTCAAGGAGATGCATATTGTAAAGAAGAAGAAAGAGACGGATCAAGAAAGGTGGGTCGAGGACCGGGCCTCGACTGCATATAATTTACTTTTATAAGAATTTTGAAATACTGATTTAATTTAAAATAATAAAGGGTCGCTACCAAAGTAAAGTGGAGGAATTCATTCGTAGTCATCCAGCTGGTGAATCGGGCGAGCTAACCCAAACTTCGGACGAGGATGGTGAAAGAATATGGTCGGAGTCTGTTGGCGGTCCAAAATGGGAAAAGGTATACGGGCTTCCTACTAAGAAATTCCATCGCTATAAGTGTGGAATGCAAGGAATAGGGACTTCCTCGCAAGGCAAGCAACTTAATGGGGATAGTCTCTCCGCTATGCGGGAGACAGTGACAAAGCTCACATCCGAGCTAGAAGCGGCCAAGGAAAGAGAAAGGGTTAGAGATGCTCAATTCCTTGGAATGCAAGCTCAGATCAGAACCTCCTATCTACTGGAGCTTTTCTGTTGCCCCGGTCTCGTGAGTCATCGCCAGAGGGTCGTCCTGCTCGTGATCACTCCTCCAGTCCTCCACGTGATCATTCTTCCGGTCCTCCACAAGACCGTTCTTTATACCGTCTTGTAGATGAAAGTTCATCAGACGGTGATAATGATGTTGTACAAAATACCCCTTGACTTTTATATACTTTGAACTAGACAAATAGAACCAGTTTTGAACTTGTTGTAATTAGTTTTAACTTGGTTTTGGATTGTTATGTTCAATTGAACTTTAATTTGTTAGTTTTAAAGTATTTATTGAATGTTTGGTTGTTGTTGTGTTGTTGTTGTTGTTGTTGTTGTTGTTGTTGTGTTGTTGTTATTGTTGTTGTTGTATTGGTATGCTGGCAGGTGATGTAGCTACCAAAACATGCATTTTATGCCAAAATTAAACCCAGAAAAACCGACCAAAGTTGGTCGATTTTTAATAAAAATAATAATAATTGCATATACCAACCAAAGTTGGTCGGTATTTATTAAAAAAAAATTAATTGACTATTACCGACCGAAGTTGGTCGGTTAATGAACAATGAATTCCCAGAATTCAACATTACCGACCAACTTTGGTCGGTATGTTACCTGCACTGTTGAGGTTACCGACTAACGTTGGTCGGTAATGTTAAATTTTAATTATTTTAAAAAAAAATATATTTTCAGTTACCGGCCAAAGTTGGTCGGTTTTTTTTAAATTTAATAATTAATAAAAAAAACATAAATTTAATACACCGACCAACTTTATTCGGTAAAATTAAATTAATAAAATATGTTTCCGACCAAAGTTGGTCGGTAAATCATTTAAATCTTCAGATGGTCGTTTTAATATACCGACCAACGTTGGTCGGTAATTTCCCACCAACGTTGGTCGGTATATTAAAACGACCATCAAAATACCGTCCAAGCGTATTTGGCCGCGTTTTGGTCGGTAATTGGCCATAACCGATCAAAGTTGGTCGGTTTTTCTAATCGGTATTAGCGGATTTTTAGTAGTGTGAAATTCAGAGTTCCTAAACAATAATCTCCCTTTGAAAAAATTATCAGTAAGTGTTAGTTATTGATTTGTGTATAACATGCATGCATGTTTGGCTGTTAGCTATTGCCTTGTTAATCAGGTCTAATCGAGAGATCTTCTAATTATTACTTGCAGTGGCGAAGTTATGTATGGCCGAGAGTGGTCAACTGGACACCCCTCGTCAAAAAATTATATTTTATATATAATAAAATATTACTTGTTATTGATTAAAAAATTGACTTTAACCACTCTCGCATAACTCACTAACAAAGAATGTTCAGAATTTAAATATCCTTATTGAATTTCTCGGTGCCACTGATTACTTGTGAACATTAGTTAGATAATTATTAGGAGGTATCTATTCTTGAAGCCCGCTACCAAGAGACAGCTCAAAATGGGAAGGCTACAGCCATTTGTCTGTTGTAGCTTCTTTTTTTTTTTTTTTTTCTTTTTCCTTTTTCTCTTTGAATGATCCATTAAAGATTCTTAAAATAATTGGATACAGATGGAATAAGTTCTTGCCACATCAACAATGACTCTGCATGTAGGCAACCTTTCTAAGTTTGGGCTTCATACTTTTTATTAGTTTCAGTAATGTATGGGTCAAAATTATGTCCAGTTTAGCAAATGCAGATGAACAAGCTGAGGCCGAGGTCCAAACCAAGCGTGGTCCAGTGGCGAGGAATTGCTCAAAGGGAAAGACCAGTAACGAGGTCGAGCAGAGGGTAAACGACTGCCAACTATTAAAATGTTCCTAGGATTATGAATAAGAATATTCTACTGAATATTCCCATATTGTACTTTTTAAGGGTTTTCTAGAGATATCCCTTATAAATAGGAAGAGAGAGGAAACAGAAGGGGGATCAAAATATTTGTGAAAGAACATCTTGTAAAGAGTTGACTATTAGGAATATACAAAAAGCTGGTTTTGTCTCTCTTGTTTGGTTCCATCACATAATATTCCTCTTTAGCTCACCAGATCCAAGAACACATAGTCCACTTCATTTGTCTGCTGTCACACGTTGTAGCCAGAAGAAGGAATCATCCATCTCATCCAACATTTGAGTGAAAAATTCTTTCTTATTACACTTAATGCCATTTATCACATTTGTTGTATGTTTTCATCCTCGTATTAATTACTAGTCATTGAGCATAACTCAGCGTTTGTTAACTTGGACGCAGACCATACCATACCATCCAAGTTGATTAATTTCGGATCTAGAATTTATTACTCTTAACTTGAATTCACCCCATATCTATTTATTAAATTGATTTAACTAAAAAGGTTTAAAACTTTAATAGCATTTTAAAATATAAAATCACTTTCTAAGTTGCTCCAATTAAGCCTGTCTCAGTCCATATTGCAGTAACCATATTTATATCGGGTCGTGATCAATCTCAGGAGTGTTAGATTTTGCCTGCGAAAACCTGAATAAAGATCTATGGTAGGGCATCGACTTTGCCATCATCTCACATTTTTGGATATTAATGGTTACATACAACTATATCCTGTACAATTCCCCAATTTTCTCCAACATAACCGACCCATAGGCAACATGACAGGTACCGGTGTGTGATGTCCATGAAATTTCTTAAATATACTCTGGACTAGCTCTTTTCGCCTTTCTTCTATTTGCTCTTCAATTGGAAAATAATTATAAATCAAGTTATGAGTTGCTAATGAGTGTAAAACATTATATTATATATAAACAAAAAGGAAAGTCAACAACTATAAGCAAAAGCTTTCTTCTTTTTCTCCTTTGTATCACAAAAGAATAAAACAGTGACAGAAGGAAAATTATAAGAGGAAAACAAATAAAAGAAATGGTGCAACACAGCTGCACTCTAACAGGTGACACTGTCGTCTACTACTGCTATCCTGATTAAATCCTTCTTGCCATGATAATCTACTTTTCTGCAAGCTAGCTTACAATATCATAAGTATCATTAAAACAAAAACAAACTATTAGGTAGAACTCATTCTTTAAGGCACCAGACCTCTGATTGTGAGGAGACGGATATTATGATTAATCATCAATATGCTGCAGCAAAAAAACATCAAATGAGGCTACTGGGTCGTTCAAGAATATGAATCAATAACCAACACAAACTAATATCTTCAAGTGCAAGTGTGCAACACTTACTCCTCCAATTAGTCAGCTAAGAAAGAGGAGGCAAAAAGATCTTGGATAAAAACAGCTCTTCCAGTAGCCTGTCTAATCCTCTTTTCTCGCTCTTCTGGACTTAGTGAAGGGTCAAAACTGCAAGAAAAATGAACACAGAAAGATAAAGATTTTTGTGGAATAGACCATATAAGATTTTGATCTCGCGTTAACAACCACAAGGATCATTAATGGGAGCTATTTTTTGTCTCGCATTTGACTTCTTGCACTGTCAAGACCCTTTTTTCTATAGCCAAGAAATCCTCGAGGGCCTGTGGTCAACCATTCGAAACTCAGTGGATATGGGCCTACCCCTCTATCCTTCTCTACTTAAATATAAAGCTTTTATCTGCGGCATGATTCGAACCCGTGACATGCGCCCAACCGGCACACGACACCTTGCGTTCTTACCACTAGACCAAAACCTTGGAGGCATGTCAGGATCTTCTTTCAATATACATTGTTGGATAACATCAACTACACCAAGTTGATAATACAAGAGCTAAAGAGATAACCAGAAAATTTGGTAGATTTACACTGCAAAGGCAAATAGATAGCATCACTACCTTAACTTCCATATATGTTGTGGTGTCACATTCTTGGTAGTAGAGTCCTCAACAGTGGATAAAACAGATTTTGAAATTTCCTCTGCTTCAATTGTGGGGAAGTTCAAAGCTAGAGAAGAAAGGAAGGGGTCGTTGGCTGCAGTGGTTGATGTTGTACTGCTTGATCGATATCCACTGCCTCCTAGAAGTACCTGCAAATGAGCTTCACGGAGATCTCTACCTAGTAGAGAGAGCGCCTGACTGCTGGGAATTGCAACTCTACGTAATCTACGCCGCCGCTGCATGTGTTTCAGAGTTAAAGAAAATTCACCAGGATAAGAGATTCTTACAGTGTGAAAGTACTAGCAGCATACTGTTTCAACAACACATTATCTTTATAGAATAATAGTAAATTGAAAAGGATATTCTTAGTAAGTGACCATGTTGCACTGTGATGTGACTTAGCATGTCCCTGGAAACTTTATGAGAACAAATGGGACAGACCTGCAACAGAAGGCGGACAAAATAGGTAAATAATTATCTAGCACGTAAGACCCACTACAAGTTAAAATTTGACGAATAATTAGATGGTGAAATCCATAACTTTGCAAACATAGTATGCTGCGATATTGTCGATCACATTCCTCAGGAAATTGCATTTGTAAATGTAAGAGAAGAAAGAAATAAAGAACTGAAGGCTACATATTCCTCAGGTTAGTAGATGAAAAAGAGATTCTTCTAGCCTTTCAAGTTTCAAGCAGATGTAAAAAACTAAGGAAATGCTTTAATAAACTAAAATGCACAACTCAATCTTAGATTAAGAGCAAAATTCTCCTGGGCTGCAGAGGCAGTATGGGACTAAGCAACTTTAAAATATAAATTATTGAGTATTGAAATGAAACTGACCAAAATGAGTGGAACAAATATAGAGGATTCATATAACCAATCCCGACTAGTTTGGAATTGAGGCACAATCATTGTTGTTGGAAAAGTCACTAGAGATGACACTGAACGATACTGTAATCGTCAGCCACATATCAAGAAGTGCACTTCAATAGCAAGTCTAGATGCAACACTCCTATAATCTGATGCCTTGGCTTCTAGACATTCACATTTGATCACAATATCCCCTTCTAAACGCCTAAAGAAATCACTATTAAATTGGATCATTCGTTCTATTGCAATTTCTTTGTTTATCTCTATTTTCTGTTTATACATCTTTTTTATAAGTATTTTCTGTTTATACACTTACAATACACTGAATGGAACTCTGTATCAAATTAATGCTGAAGATATACTGATCGGAAGATCCTCAATTTTGGCACCGGGTGAAAGAGATACAACAGAAATGGTTCCACATCAAAGAAAAAATGGCAATACTGTATGCTCTCATTTCCACTTTAAGAAAAGGTACTATAGGTTCCAAAATTGTGCAAATGAAAGAAAAATTCTCCTAATTTTCTAAACATGTTTTTTTAAGCACAGAGCACATAAGGGGGTGACAGCCAACAAAACGTTGTAACTCGAATAGACGAATATCCTTTGATAGGAGATATGAAATCAAAGACTGAGAGGCTATACAGATCAATTAATCAACTACAATCACAAGGATTTGCAGATCCATTACATTAACCTAAACTATACTTTTAGAATTAGGTCAGCAATGAAAAAGGATCCTCCAGAAAATTGTGACGGTTAGAAAAGCATGTGGGCTATATGATATCTCTATAAAGATTTGACATTCAATCCTGACAATGGGTTTAATTTCTACAAGGCTGACATCACCGTCAATAACATGTATCTCAAATTAGTTGAAGTGCCTTGGAGAGGTTGGAGTAGCATGCCTTATCAAGCTTCTCGATGTTATATTATTGAAGTGCCTTGGAGAGGCCGGAGTAGCATGCTTTATCAACCATTTTGACGTTATATTAAGGAATTGAAAGATGTCTAGTGAAGGGAGATAGAGTACATCTTCCAATTATAGGAATAAGCAGATATTCAACGTTATACGAACTGTTACGAGCTGCCTTCATGCAATGGCTCGGACAGCCCATGACGTTGCCTGACCTGGTCGGATGCACAACGCGACTTTGAGAAGAGCAATAACACATAGACTTAGAGACATTACAGGGATTACATAGACTCAGTTTGGATATGTATAATAGATCCTAAGCAAAAGCTTTATTTCCGCTAAGAAGAATAGGAATTTATATGGAGAAAAGCAGGATCTTTACGGGATACTCATTAACCTAGAGAAAGCATATGATACTCAAAAAAATCACAGTGTGGGTACTGACGAAGAAATAAATTTATACCTAAGGATATGTAATGTGAGAACACCTAACTACTACGTAGTTTCCCATAACCATGAGTTTACACCTATATGCTTACCTTATAGAGGTCAACCTTGGCAGACTTCAGTGGATAATTTAGGTCGAGTAAGTACACAACTTTTACACTCTTTAATACTGACTAGTTTAGCTAATGAAAATTTTGACTTCCTCTGCTACTAGAGCAAAGGTTTATCTCAAGCACGGTTATTTATGCGCCAAGAACAAATTATACCACCTCCCTGCCACTCATGGTTAAGCCGGCCGGTTTAAGCATAAATTACCTTGACGGGAACTTAATCTGGTCATACCAAAAAACTTATCTTTTGTCAAACCAATGGTGCCAATATCTTTTAATAACTTATCCAAGAGTATTAGCGACCAAATAACCAAGATTGTAACTTTAGTAGATTTATACCCTGTAACTGTATTTCAAAGAACTACCCCTCGGTTAGGGGTAAGGTGTGCGTACACACTACTCCCCAGACCCCACTAATGGGATTTCGTTGGGTCGTCGTAGTCGCCGTTGTTGTTGTTGTCGTATTTCAAAGAAATGGAAAGAGCACCGCGGATTCAAATTTTTATTTGCGCCAAAAATGAATCAGATTTAAAATCTGGATAACATAGCCCCAAAATCAACTTTTTAACAAATAAGCTAATCCAAACAATAAATCAAACATTCAAATGAAATGAAATGAAATGGCATAAGAAAAAGCTATAATGATTTGCAAAAAAGAAACTCACAGTGACTTTGGACTCGCAAGAATGTTCCTCTTCAAGATGGGAACAAAGAGAGGCAATATCAAAATCCTCATAACAATACGGGCATGGGAAATCGGGCCGGACCTCTTCTTCAACCTCGAAATCATCTATGCTCAGCCTATCTACTTCACCCCAAAAATCATGTCAAAAAATAAAAATAAGAATAAAAACTCTTTTTTTTTCTGGACAGATCCATGAAAAGCAATAAAATCCAAAGGAAAAAAAAAACAAACCAAGTTGAGAACTTTGATGATTGTAGGAATTGTGTTGCTGTAAATTCAACTGCCGCTTTGCAGCTGCAAGACGAGAGGTCCAGAAATCTGAATCCATGGAGAAATGAAGAAAGAGAGAGAAATGGGTTTGAGCTGAAAAATGAAGAATAAAGCAAAAACAGAAGAAAAAAAAAGGAAATTATATTTTCCCTGATTTGATGTAATTTTTTAAAATATTTTTCTTGGAATTAAAATTATCTATATTTTTCTATGGGTGTTGAAAAAGAGCACTGCTTTGACTTTTTCTCTCTTGCTGGTGATTCATGTTCCTCTCAAATAAATACATTTTATTAAAATAATAATAATTCTGAATTGTTTAATGGTTTGGGAAGGAGTGGTTACGGTGGTTTTGGTGATGGGATGGGAAAGAGTAAATTATTATTATTATTGTTATCTGTGTAAAGAGAGAACGGGACATGACAGGTGACAGTAAGCTTACGTAGCGAGAAATATGTTGGATTTTCCAAATCCTATACTGTTTTGTCAAGTCCGGAACCGAAGTGTTATCTTTTTGGACTCAAAATACTTAATTAGGTGGGAAAAAAACATAGTTATCATGATATGTAAAACGCAGTTATGGACCACGTTTTATTTTAACGACCGTTTGGGACGTTAAGGTAAAGCGCAATTTTTACTGCGTTTTACATAAAACGCATTTTAAACCAGCGTGTTATATAAAACGCCTCTTAATACCGCGTTTTATATGTTTTGTGGACCCACCAATAACTCTTCTGCGCTTAACTGACATAACAATAATTCAAATATGTAAAACGCCCTTTTAAACTACGTTTTACTTCCAAAAATTTGACCTCCCCCCTCCCTCCCCCCGGGATTGGGCACCTTATTTAAAGTCGTTAAGGGTTTTGAAAAAAATCATTCAGAAATACTCCAACTTCGTGATAAATTTGTTTTGTTGTTAAATTCTCAAGCTTTTTTCATAATGTCTGAAGAGCGAAAAGTAAGAGTTCCATTATATTGGGGGGGGGGGGGGAGGGTGAGGTTGTGGTGGCGAATAACTCAGTGAACTATAGTTTATCTCCACAGAGTCATGTTAGGTCGCCACTTACAATGGAGTACAATAGACTAGTATTGTTGTTATGCAATAAAATGAGGTTGAGCAAACGTTCAGTGAATCTTAAAATAACCGGAAGATATCTGTATTTTGTGACTCCGCAAGGGGTTGCTTGTTACGCTGAGTTTAACATCGAAGATGATGAAACTCTGAGAGATTTTTGGGGACTCCGGATGAATACCGGGAACTTATTTTGATTAAAATATTGGAAATATACGTGAAGCATGAAGACGTTCGCAATAATGATGTTGAGCAAAGCAGGGATAACCCTCAATCATCGGGTGGTTATTCTGGAGCAGTTTAGCCCAACAAGTTCCGGCTAAAAGAGTTTGGCGGGATCTAAACTTATCTCCACGAGCGAACGAGGAGCGAGGAAATAATTTCTCTCCTACTTTACATAATCCACAAGAACACTGGTAAACTTTAATTTCCCTCTGTGTTACGATGTTTATTTTTGTCGTATTGAATTTGTATTAATACTCATATATTCCACAGAGGGTACCGTCCAGATATGAATTTTACAAGTTATGAACCAACATCCAATTGGAATATGCGTAGTTTTGGTGTGTTGGATCACGGTGATCCATCCGGGAGTCATCACCAACAGGATAATGTCCATCATGGACTATCAACACATTACGACTTGTAAGTGAAGTGATATAGCTATCTGTAAAGTATTTATCAATTTCAGTAGCTTATTATTTCGTTTTTGCAATGACAACGACCAACTTGATGGTCCTGTCCTCACTCAGTTGCCCGTAGACGGCGTATTTACTCGGGATTTGGCAGATGCGCAGAGTCAGGAAGATAATAGTGATTATGATAACAATACCGACGAGTCCGGAGATGACACACCCTTCCCTGACGAGGGTGATGATGAGGAGGAAGAGAATGTCGAACCTAAGCTGACGAGGGAGCATGCTCCACCTCCCGTTAGACCGAGAGTGTACGAGTCCCACGCGCCGTTTCATTCAAGGCATATTCCCTACCTTGATAATTTGCCAAGTATGCCGGATGTGGTTGCCCTCACAAGGGATCTTGACGAAATTCGGACAGCAATGTGGGATGAGTCTAGACCAACGGTGCTGGCAAAAGGCATGTTTTTTCCCAATAAAGCTCGCCTAACCAGGGCTTGTAAAATGTACAGCGTAAGAGAGTGTCGTGAGATGATAGTATGGGAGTCAAGTCCGGAGGTATACAAGGTTGTTTGCCGTAGATGGTTTTCGGGTTGTCACTGGATGCTGCATGCGACCAAGAAGGAAATAGGGTTGTGGAAAGTCGGTAAATATATTGGCACCCATGTTTGTGAAATTGACACATTCAATGGGAATCACTTCAACTTGGATGTTGACTTGATTTCTCTTCAACTGATTCCACACATTGAAGTGTCCATTAGGTACAAGATCAAAGAGTGTATTACATCCATCCACCAGGAATATGGGTGTACTATTACCAAAAGAAAGGCATATCTCAGGCGCAAACGTGCATTTGAAATTGTTTATGGTGACTGGGATAAGTCATTTGCATCTCTACCCAGGTACATGGCCGCATTGAAACACTTTAACCCCGAGACTGTTGTTGAATGGAAGCTTGAGCGGAGTGCAGGAATACCGTAATATATATTCAGATACGTTTTCTGGGCACTTAAACCAGCAATTGATGGTTTTGTGCATTGTCGTCTGGTAATTTCCATAGACGGTACTCATGTCTATGGAAAGTAAGATATTAAGCTGTTGATCGCCGTTGCAGTAGATGCCAATGGACAAATATTTCCACTAGCTTTTGCCATCTGTGCCAATGAAAGCCAAGAGACGTGGACGCTATTTTTGAACCACTTGAAGCAGCACGTTGTCAAACAACGTTCAGGTATTTGTCTAATATCTGATCGGCATGGTGGTATATTAAGTTCTGTAGAGCATTTGCCTGAATAGCAGGAACCCTATGCATACCACTGTTACTGTGTGAGGCACCTGAAGGCCAATTTCCAAAAGAAATATCCCAACAAGGACTTGCATGATTTAATGTGGATGGCTGCAACTGATCACCAGCAGTGCAAATTCAGGAGGCGCATGGAATCGATCCGGCAGCTAGACTAAAGAGCCTATCATTGGTTGATCGACATGAGCTTCACAAGTGGACATTGCATGCTGATGGTGGCAGACGATGGGGAACCCTGACTACAAATGAGTCGGAGTCTTTCAACGGGTTATTGAAGTCTGCACGTGGATTGCCTGTCACTGCCATCGTCCGGATGACATTCAAACAGATGGCAGAGAGGTTTGTTGAAAGGCATAGAGGTGCATAGGAATTGATGGACAGGGGTGTTGAATTTATGCCAATACCGATGAAAAGATTTGAGAAATACAGGAGGCGAGCACATTGGCATTCATTTTTACAGTATGATCACGACCGGGGTATTTTTGAAGTTCGCACCGCTATCCATCAACACCGGGGGAATAATGTACACACCATAAATAAGCCAGCAGGTTGTGTTCTTGTGGAAAATGGTCCATCTACCACATGCCTTGCTCACATGCTATTGATACACAATTTTTTCCCTGTCTATTTTTATACTCAAAATAGCATGTACATGCATATATAAGTATGCCCAAGAATTTTTGATATTTTTTTTTCTAATTTTTAAAGCTTTTTAAAATCATTTGATTATTTGTTTTAGCAGTACAAAATCCAATAATTATTCCCAAAACTATTATTTTGGTGAGTAATTTATTTCCATCCTCATATTTACACCACAATATAATTAAGGTGATTTTATCATATTTTTATAATTTTATTTGATATTTTTAAAGCTAATGGCATAAAATTACAATTATAGCCTATATTACGATTAACAACATTTTACAATTATAAAATTATTCCCAGTATTTCTAGATTAACGTTTATATATTATTAATTAGTTCAATGCTTTTAATTTTTTTTTTTAAAAATCATTTTTAACTATTTTAATTAAATTAAAAAAGGGAAAAATTGGCTATTTAATATATAGCCCATTACCATTTCAATTTTAGCCAAAATCAAGCCCCCCCCAATTTCCCAGCCCTATTTTTGATTCAAACCTGACCCAATTCCTAAATTACCCGCCCCTGACCCACTTAAATAACCCGCCCATGCCTTTTCTTTTAATCCCAGCCGTTGATCTAACAGATCAACGGTTCACACTCATCCTTTCCTTTTTTAATCCACCAACACCCTCAACCCTAAATCATTTTCCCTTTACCCGCCGCCCTTGAATCCCTTTCCTCTCCAATCCTCTCTGCAACCCCGTTCAAACCCTAGCCTCCGACACCCAAACTAACCCTAATCCCCTTCGATTCCCACCGGAATCCATGGCTTCTCAGGCCATGGAAACCTTATACTCACCTCCTACTGCTCATGTGAGCCTGATGCTTGAAGGATCGAGGACAGACTTCAAGAGTCTTCACTCAGATCTTCACCGATTCGAGGTTTCCGGCCATCTCCGGCCTTGCTCCGGCCTACCCTAGTCTCCTGAGTCTGATTCCGACTTTATCCGACTTAGATCGGATCTTTTTAAAGCCTTTCTCACTCTAGGGTTCTTCTGAAACCCTAACTATTCGAGGTTTTTCTCCGATTCCTTTAGATCTGTTATGTATCTATGCTATGCGTGATTTTTTAAAACGATTTCCCTAAATTTTCCTTTGAAAACTGCTTTCAAAACCCCTCTTTTCCGATTTAGGGTTTCTGGAAAGTGTTCAAGTGTTTTTACGATTTTTCCTTCTTTATTATTTGAATTGTTTCTCTTACTGTGTTCCTGTATCATGTTCTCACTCGCTTTCTATTATGTTCTTATACTTGCTCTATTATGTTCTTGCGCGTTCTTCTACTGAGTTTCATACTCCGTGATTGAATTTTCTTTTGCTGTATTTTCTATACTCCGTCCTGGCATATTCTCCTACTGTGTTCTCTACGCTATGATTCTCGCCTGTTTTTTTTCTCTTCACCATGTTCTGCTATCTTCATCCTCTATAAGCATGTATTTCTTTTACTGTTTCTTCTACTGTCAGTTGTTCTCTCATTACGTTTCGAAACTAGTTTCTTCACTCTGTTTGCTTTGATCTTTCTATTTGTTTGCATGCTTTCTCATGAGCTTCTGAAAGAAGCCACTAAGCCTGTTTTTGACTACTTGCCTCTCTATCTCTGTGTTCGATTCAAG